GTGCGTGCGTGCGTGCGTGCGTGCGTGCGTGCGTGCGTGCGTGCGTGTGTGTGTGTGTGTGTGTGTGTGTGTGTGTCTGTGTGGCTGATCTGTTGTGGGAGTGGGATTTTGGTGTGTGTGTGTGGGGGAGGTTGTTTTGTTTTGTGTGTTTTGGGAAAAAAATACAATAAAAAGACTGATTAAAAAACAACCTACTGCTGTACATCAACCAAACTGAAGTGGACAGGGTCAACACCTTCAAATTCCTCAGTGTCTACATCACACTGGCTCCAGCATATTACTCAGCAGATAGGGAAGGCTCAGCAGAGACTGTATTTCCTGAGGAGGCTGAAGAAAATCAAGCTGCCACCGACACTCCTCTGCAATTATTACTGCTGCACCGTGGAGACAGTGCACATCAACAGCATCACCGTGTGGTAAGGCAGCAGCTTCCAAGCAGACCGCAAGAGCTAGCAGAGGGTGATGAGAGAACCTCAGAACATTGCTGGGACGACCGTTTTACCCCTGCAGGGCAGCTACCAGCATAGTCCTCAAGAAGGACCACAACATCATTAAACACCCCACTCACCCCCAACATCATCTGTTCACATTTTCACTCATAGGAAAGTGAACCCAGCACACACACTTTTGGCCCTGCTCCCCTCAGGAAGGAGGTTGAGGAGCATTAAGTGTAGAACCACTAGACTGAGGAACAGCTTCTACCCTGAGGCTGTTAGACTCATGAATCTCTAACCAGAATAATCACTGTGAAAAATTACTTCATGTTGCTGCTGATCTGTTTCATGTTGATGTGTTCATGCGTGCTCATCTGCTCACACAGACTCATGCTCATGTTCATGTTTGTGCTGATGTTCGACGTAATGTTTTTATGTTATTAGTGCTTAGTGTATATTTAGTTGATGTTTTTCTTAGTTCATATCTTAGATGTTATCATTGTTTTTCTTTTACATTTTTATTGTTGAATGCAACTTGGACCCTGTGTACATAGTTTCGCTCCACCACATGTACCACGTGTGGTGCGAACGACAATAAAGAAACTCTGACTCTGAAATGCAGAACTTCAAGCCTGAAATACACTTTCTAACCTGAAGCTTTAAGACTGATTCATTCCTCCAGACAATTGAAAGGACAAAGACTAAATCTGTTTATTGTTTACTGTAAGGTGTGTGTCCATTTGATTGCTTTTTTATCTTTATTTCTATATTAAATTCATTTTAATGCCTATTTAATATAAATATATACTTTTAGTGATAAGCTGTCAGGAAGAAACCGAGTATTAAGAATTTCCTTGCATGAATCTTACTGTTCTGCAAGCTTTTGAACCTTTGAACCTATTTGTCTGGAGTTACCAAAAGATCGCGCCAAGGTTTTAGAAATTTTTTTGTTCACATGATTGAAGAGTAATATGTAAAATAATAATGCAAAATGAACTAACATGAGCAGAAATTAAATTTTAATCTCCAAGTAAGCAACATTCAAGCCAAATAGCTCAGCACTCCTTGAAAAGCATTACTACTTCTCTTCAAAACTAAATTCCCAGCCAAGAACTCGGGTGACTTATTTTTTTCAGAGTTTTAATAGAAAAGAAACACTTGAATGTTCTCAAAGCAGAGAAAGTGTGAAAGGCGCTTTTTGCTTAAGCTGTTCTCTTACCGGATTGCTGGAGGGCACATCAATTACAGAGATGTGCATCTTGCTGATATGTGCGTTCAGACTCCCCAGCTTCTTAAACACACAGCTGCAGTCCATGCACGGGAACAGAGGCACCCCTTTGGTCTGTCAGAGAGCACAAGCACACACAGATTAGCACCAGCTGCAGTCCATACGTTTATACCAACAGCTCCTCTACATTTCAGGAATAAAAGTATGATTACATTGCTTCCACGTCTGCCACTATATAGCCCCGCAGGGGTGCAGAAATGGTTACATACTTGTAAAAAAGAGAAATTAGCAGTGAAATGGAGCCACTTCCACACCTGACATCTACACCTAAACTGATGGCAAGTGGTGGATGTGTAGGAAACATATCCAACAAACAACTGATGGGTTTTATATGAGAAGCATACCACTGATGATGGACAAAACATGTTAGTGTGCTAACACAAACTGCTGTTAGAAGCTGGGAAAGTTTATGAAGTACAGATGTTGTGCTCTGGAAACCAAACAGATGCATTTGGACTTTAGAGTTTGATGGGAAAGGGCAAACAGGTCCAGAAAGATGTTATTACCTTGAAGCAAGGATTGTGACAGTGGGATGATGAGTGTGTACAGATTTAGAAAAAACAAGTGGTATGCCCCCATCGCTGAAGGATTTGAATAATTGTTTGTAATTTTCGAGATCAATGTTTTTCCAGACTGGAATTGAACAGGAAATGTAAGTAAACCAAGTCAGTGGACAGTACAGGGTCACCTGTAACTCGCCTGGAGCTAGGGGTTGAACGGCTACATAATTTTTAAACTCGACATTAACATAATAAAACTCGAGTAGAACTCGAGTACTTGATGACATCATAGGATCTAAAGATACAAAAATAAATAAATAAAACCGCAAAAAAGGTCATTATTTATAAAAAAAAAGACCAAAAAACATTGGGAGCATATATTATGCTCATACCATTTATCATATTGCAAATAAGTCACAGGAAAAACTAAACTATTAGTTATTATTATTATTAAGCTGCAAACGTGAAGAAACGTGCAGCACGTCAAAAACTAAACTAAAACAGTGGGGGCCCCACCCCGCACCACCGCCAGCTGTGGTGCGCATTAAGTTTAGTTTTAGAGATTAATATGTTTATAGTTTTTTTTATAGGTTTAGAGATTAATATTTTTTGCTTTTTGTTTGTGAAACAAGGTCAGAAGGAAACTGGTTCGGTAGATTGGACCCGGTGTTACACCATATTCTGTGACCTGCAACAGTGCAACACCGCCCCCTACTGTCACAGAATATGGTATAACACCGGTTCGCAACGCGCTCCAAACAGTCAGGAAGTTGTTTCATTTTCTGTTCCCTTACGGTAGTTGAACCAGAAGATTCATCTTTAGTGAAATATTTCCAGACTATTGATGCATTTCTACCTGTTTGTCAAGACTGGCCCTGCTCTGCTCCATCTGTCTGCTTGAAGGAATCCCTTTTGTAACACGCGCCGGTGCGGATCACGTGACATGTGACGCAATGACGTAACGGCGGCATAATGACGTCACCACGAATACTCGACGTGAAATTAAAAACCTCGATAGGTGTCCTAGGAATCAATGTGTAGATTACTCGAGTAGTCTGTTAATGCCCTACCGGGAGCACATTAAATAATTTAATAGGCATCGAAAAGTAGATTTAGAAATACTGAAATCCTATTATGACCAACACTCTGAGTACACCCTGCTCTACAGTACTTCATTCTGAGTAGATATTACATGTGTTTTCAGTACAACGGTGTGGGAATTTAAAGACAAATACCTGATTTTTCTGAAAATTACTGAAAATAAACTACATGTGATAATAATTAGTGGAACACACTTATAAGCACTGAATTGGTGACTGAACAATAGTGAGGTTAGCCAAGATTTACAGCTAACGAGCAACAAAAACATCCCATCTTCACAAAAATGAAGCTGAGACACACTCAGAAAACATTGATTCAGTTACTGAAAATGTTTGTGCCTCGTCGTTGAGTGAACAACTTTGGCGTTATTTTTTAAAGTCTTTGCGATAAACATAAACCAAGCATTTGGGAACAACAAGCGTCAGTTGGCGCAGGATGAGGCAAATTAAATCAGCATGAAGCCAGCGTGCAGACACTAAAATACCTTTTATGGGCCATAACCATTTAGATAAAATGTGCTGTTTGTGGTCAGTGCTGCATATGCGTAAATGGTGCCCCCTGTGCCCCTCCTCTAATGGAGACCATTGTGGTGCAGGCTGCAGACCCATTATTGAAGGCAGCCACCATTCTGGAGATGGTGGCACCAATAACCCCACCATTAACGGGCTTAGCTCACGGATGCTCAACATACCGCTGCCTGTTTGGTTTATTTTACCTCCGTCAGAACTATTCCTGGAAGCACCCTGGACAGACGCTGGTGTATTAGACTTTTTCTGACTTAACGTCTGACACTTGGAGGAAGAGCATCATTAGAGGCTAAAGTTGGGGTTAAAGTATGTCAGACAAACATGAGGGGTGGGGGGCAGATGTAAAATTTTGGCAGGTGTCACATGACTACAATGAAGGAAAAATGAGAAAGAGAAACGCACAAATTTATCTAATTTCCTGTCTTTGACACAAACATGACAAAGTGCCACAGTGTGTTGAAGATAATAAGCTGTAGGCTTGAAGGTTGGCAGGTGTTTGTGTGGTGGGGGGATTTGCGTGCGTGCATGTGTGGCAGGTGTGAGAAGACCTAGTGGAAAATAGAACCTGAATTACCCATTTACAGCAGTCTGCCTCTGCTGAGCAGCCACACTGCAGATTGTTTCTTGTTGAGCTCGGGCAGTAAATAAAGGCCAAAAGAAGAGGAAGTTCTGCAAAGTCCAGCTGACCTTTAACCTTTTTGAGTTTAGTGGGAACAAATTGACCTATGACCATCAAAATCTAGTCAGCTCAGCTTGAGTTTCAGGGAATATTTGAGTCAATAAATTGAAATTCTCTGCAGTTGTCCACAGAACAGGAAGAAGGATTAAAGGTAGAGAAAGAAATTTGCCCGACAACCAAAAAGTAACAAAAGTGGGACTGAGGAGTGAGCCGTTACCTCAGAATGAACCCTCTGAACATGAGAGTGCAGGTTCCCCTTCTGGGAGAAGGAGGCAGGGCAGAACATGCAGAGGTGTGGTTTCTCTCCCGTGTGTTTCACCATGTGGGTCTGCAGCACCACCTTCTGGTTGAAGGCCTTGTTGCAATGGGAGCACTTGTAGGGTCTTTCACCTGAAGCAACAGGAAGGACAGAAACGTTTAAAGGAATGCATGTCACCCGCCGGGCTTTCAACAAAGATCATCTAATGATGAGAAACAACGGGTTTTGGTTAGTCTTTGTAAATGACGTTTTGTGTGATCTCAGGTAATACTGCAAGACCTGGTAGCGGTTGAAGCACGTGTTAGGAATGACTTTCAGCTTCTACTACAACAAAGTTTAGCTCAGTATCAGTAAAATCACCAGAGTTGTAGCCATTTTTGTGCTGGATAAGGCTGTAGTGGCGATTAGTCGAAAAGATAACAAGTTAAAGAGGTACATTCAAAGGTGATTATATATATATATATATATATATATATATATATATATATATATATATAAACATCAAATTGTTTATGAGATATTTTGCTAACAGAGTCAGCTCCAATACTTAATGGTAAAGTTTTAAATACAGTGATGGGACTGGTTCTCAGCTACTACCACACCAAATTTTAGCTCAGTATCTGTAAAACTGATGCTTTGAAGAAGCAGCCATTTTGAATGTTGTTAACTGGAGGTGGAACACCCGGAGAACTGGTGCAGAAAGAACAACCTCCACATCAATGTAAATACAAAGAAGGAGATGGTCGTGGACTTTAGATGGAACAAACACATCTACCCACCCACCCCCTGAACATAGGAGGATCTGTGGTGGAAGTGTTTTCCAGCTACAAGTACTTGGGTGTACACATGAATGACAACCTCAGCTGGAGCAACAACACCACCAGCCTGATCAAGAAAGCTCATCAGAGACTCTACTTCCTCAGACGGCTGAGGCGAGCTGGTCTGGGAAGCTCAGTCCTCACCTCCTTCTACAGGTGTGCAGTGGAGAGCATCCTGTGCTCCAGCATCAACGTGTGGCATGGAGGCTGCACAGCTGCAGAAAGAAAAGCTTTGCAGAGAGTGGTGAAGGCTGCACAGAAGACTGTTGGAGTCAGTCTCCCCACCATCACAGACATCTACACCTCCAGATGCAGGAAGAGGACTACCTGCATCATGAAGGACCCCACTCACCCAGCACACACACTTTTTGCCCCACTCCCCTCAGGAAGGAGGTTGAGGAGCATTAAGTGTAGAACCACTAGACTGAGGAACAGCTTCTACCCTGAGGTTGTTAGACTCATGAATCTCTAACCAGAATAATCACTGTGAAAAAAATAATCATTGTAATGCCACTTTGATTGTTGATATGTGCTGCTGATTATACATGCTGCTGATCTCATGCTGCTGTATTCATACGTACTCATCTACTCACACAGACTCATGTTCATGCTGCTGTTGTTCGGCGTATTGTTTTTGTACTACTAGTGCTTAGCATATTTCTTGGAGTATATCTTAGATCTTATTACTGTTTCTTTTTACAATTTATAATTTTACTATTGTTGGATGTAACTGGGACCCTGTGTACATAATTTTGTTCCACGTCATGTACCACATGTGATGCGAATGAAAATAAAATCTACTTGAACTTGAACTCCAAAAATTCATCAGTTTTAGACGCAAGTACACTTCTGAACGTTTTATTAAATTCTGCTTTTAAGAGTGGGTAGGGTTAGATTAAAAGATTAAATTGGACAACAATCTCATTCAGGACAGCAAGAAGACCAAAAACATTATGGTGGACAACGGGAGGTCCAGAAGATCATAATCTTATGATCACCAATGGAAAGTCAGTGGACAAGACACCTGTCCCACACCACTGGTAAAAATAGCAACGCTTCTACTTTCTGAGAAAACTGAAGAAAGCCGGACTGCCTCAAAATCTCCTCATGAACTCCTATCTGTGCACAGTGGAGAGAAGCATGAGGTACCGCATTATGGTGTGGTAGAAGGCACTGCAGAGGGTCACCAACCCATCAGAGGGTTGTTCGGTCTGATCTACCCACCATGAGCTACATCTTTGTGGCCCGATGTCAGAGCAGGGCTAAAACCATTAACAGAGTTTTATCCACCCTGCCTAGATTCAAGATTAATCAGCACTGAACTGAGATTTAAAAACAGCTTCTTCCCAACAGAAGCTGTTGGGTCAACTTCTTTCTTAAGACTACGACTCTGTTTATGTGATGTGCTTTTCTGAGTGACTCCGGAGCTTTTCTGACACAGTTCAGCAGTTCATGTACATAACAGCCTTCGTCCTCTCTGAAACCAAATGTTTTTGAATCCTGGTCTCAGAGCGGAGGTTTTTGTTGGAAACCCCCAATTGCACATGCACACCAGGAGGTTACAGTCAGAAGTTTTACTGCACTAACAACAGTTACAATAAAAGGCAGAGAACAGAGTATTTCACCCCTTTTCAACATGTAGGAGCAAACCAACAACATCCTTGGTCCAAAGGAACGTTTGTGTATTCACCAGTTTGAATGTAACTGTGATTATGCTGATACCACATGTGTAAATGCATCCAGCTAAGCCCATCTGCGGAGCTGCCAGATACACTTAAATATGTTTTTTGCTCCCTCCTTTTCTGTGCACATGTTCAACAAACACAACACATACACCTCATCTCATAACACTCAGCACATATGACAGTCTGGGTCAAAATATAATCATTTTAATGCAACAGTCCAATAGTTCCACGTCATGCTCAATAATCCAGGTACAAATCCAACTAAGTTCAGTCAGGTCATCTGGATGGTTTCTTTTTTTGCTGAGACGTTTCGTCCTTCATCCAAAGGACTTCTTCAGTCCACAAACTTGGTGTCCAGTGTCAGCAGCAGTTTTTTTTTCCCCACTAGGGGAGTTGGTGCTTGTGGGACTCCTTTGTTTGTGGCTTCTCGGACTGACGAAGTCCTTTGGATGAAGGACGAAATGTCTCCGCAAAAAACGAAACCGTCCAGTACAATAGTTCATTATTTCTTATCTGGCAACCCTGCCTGGCATGGAAACTACAGTAAATCCATGTAAACGTGGGTTCTTTTTTTGGTTTTGTTTGTTTATTCGCCCCCAATGAACAATGACAAAACACAGTCTTTTCCAGTAGTCGTTCTCATGTAAACACGACCTATGAATGTAAACCTAACTTGTTTAGTTGTTATTGTAACTTCTGCTTGTTGTTAATTTGTTACTCGTCTTATTTTTCTGTCAGTAAACAGGAATACCAATTTTATTTTGTTGTAATTCTGGCAACAGTCAAGCAATGACAATAAAAACCTTGTTCTTTTTTGTTTCTTTTAGTAAATCAACAACAAAAAGAAATAAATCAGCACTTTTATACACTTGTGTGTTTCTGCCAAAGCAGCTTAAAGTTTAATCAGTATGGCCACAAAACATCCTGTCACTTGTGTAGCTTGGAGCTGAAGAAAAGCAAACCGATATTGAGCTGTCTGATGTGTTTGTGTTTACTCAAGTGTGTGCAGTCCGTCGAAGCAACTCCTGACCTCAGAGACCTAAAGGCTGATTGAGATGCAGAGCACGGTGAAACTGGCATCGGCAACACTAGTCGAGCAGCCAGCCAACCAAAGCAATTAACACGTGGATGTTGTGCAATCAACATGTGGCTGAAAGCGACTGGCAACGCTACCCTCAACCCAGACAGCTGAACGATGTTGAAGCAACACGGGAGCCATAGTCACATATAAATTCTCCCCACGTCACCTTCCTGTGTGACAGATGAGAGAGAAGTCCCATCAGACTGCTCAGGAGATGTTTTGTCAGACTGATGACGGAGGAGGAACAGACAGAGGAACAGATGTGAGACTTGAGTTGTGTTCTGTTTCGTTGCCTTGATTTTAACGTGTGAGGCAGAAAAAGGTTTAAATTGAGAAGACAAACTGGTAGGAGGCCTGTTTATGTCATTACTCACAACACACCTGGCAAGACATCTGCTGCACTTATGGCAGAAAACTGAGGTCCCAGTTGTTGTAAGTTATACCATACCATACCACTTTATTTATAAAGCACTTAAAACAGCTACAAAGCAAACCAAAGTGCTGTACAGACAAAACAACAGGTAACACACAAAGCAAAATACAAAATGAGGTAAATCAGAATATAGACATAAAAACGATGCAGATAATGACGACAAACCAGTGTGGAGCGTACAGGATCAAAACACAGATCATCTGGTGTTGAAAGCTACTGAATAGTAGTGAGTTTTTAAACAGGACTTGAAAACCGAGAGGGAGGGGGTGTTGGTGTTGGTAACTACGAAACACAACGCACCTGCAGGCTAGGTTCATCTGACTCAGTTTCAGACATATTTGGTCCATCCGTCAGTAGGCCTGTCATGATAACAAATTTTGTTGGGCGATTGTCTCAGAAATTATTGCGATAAACGATAATATTGTTTGAAATTTGACAATAAATTAGTAACTATTGTCAAATTTTAAAAGAATTGTTGGTTAATTTGTTTTGCATATAGTATCTTTTTTCGACCACTGGATGGCAGTATAAAACTGTTTGAACTGAAGGATAGATAGTGAGGGAGCGAGCAGCGTGTCTCTAAGAAAAATGGGAGGGAGGCCCCTTGACATGACATGGGCTGTCTCTCTTCCGTACTTAAAATGGCGGACGCTCGATGTGGTTTGAGCTATTTAGCACAGCATTTGTCACACAGAGCTTTTAATAGAAAAATCAGTAAACAAGTTCTCAGCTTCTTTTCGCAGAGAAAAGCAACTTTTTACATGAAGGCACGAGTTTCAACCGTGAATTCTGGAGCTTCAACAAGACTGAGGTTTTTTCCCTGAGGTCAGCCTGTTAGCTTAACTTCTCAGCTTAGCTGCTTTTAACAATCCAAAAACGCAATTTTGGACAGTTAAAATGGAAGATAAAGGGCTGGGGGAGTCAGTGAAGAGCACCGGTATTTAGCTTTTTGTCATCCAGTGTCTTCAATAGAAAGCGAGAGACATGAAGAAACGATAAAGCCGATAAATGAAAATGACGTTGATAATTTTCATTTATCATGCAATTAATTGATTTATTGTTTATCGCAACAGGCCTATCCGTCAGCACATTCAGCTGATCAGATGACAGGGATTACCAGTTAGACATAGTAAACCCAAAGTTCATGTTCTTGTCTGATCTTTTGCCTACTGACCTCAAACTGTTAATGTTAACCACCAACAAGCAAAAGGTGGATGATAATGTTTCAGTCTGTCTGTGTATATGTCTGAGTTCCTTTGCGTCTGTCAGCAAAATATTTCATGAACAACTTGACAGATTTTAATGAACCTCTCAAAAAGTAACAACTAGAACTGATTCACACTACAATGACAAATGTAGCAAACGCCAAACCAGCTCCAACTTGGTGAATATTACAAAAACTGAGCTAAAGTTAGGTGTGGTAGTAGTCAAGAGTCATCCCAAACACATAATCAGAGCACTAACAGTTCACGCATAATATTATTTTGTAATCTTACCCAAAACAGCTTTAATTTATTTACAAGGGTTGACCACAACAACTGAAGTACAACGGTGTATTTTCTCTACACAACCTGACCTGCAGTGCAGAGCATCCACTAACAAATGGAAGAAACTCCTGCAGAGGTTTTGTTAGTCAGTAGTGGCCAGCGTCCTGTCCTATGCTGTCCTCTGCTGGGGGGGCTCCATCAGAGAGACGCACAGAGGCTGAACTCAGTGGTAGGAGTGGAGCTTGAATCTGTTGAGGCTACAGTGGAGCGAAGGGTACGCCTCAACAGCAGCCCATCTTTAAAGGGATCAGTGTTTTTCCTACCATTAGGGGTGCACCGATAAATCGGCCCTGATTTTCTTAATTTTGAGAGATCGGAGATCAGCCGATACTTAAACCAGAAACCAATTTTACTCATTTTTTTGTAGTTTTAACAACAGTTGTCTAAACTTCATTTATATTTCAGAGCACTACCTCATGGCCAGTTAAAACAAGTTTGTAATGTTTCTAGGATATTGTTCAAGGGTATGTTTTTCAATAAAACAATATTGAAAATTGAAAGTGCATTATGACCTTATAACACCTGACAGTGTCGCTTATAAAACTAAATTGGTATCGGCCAAAATCGGAATTGGCAAATCAGGCTTTTTAGAAATCTGTGATCGGCCAGAAAACTGCAATCGGTGCACCCCTACTTACCATTATACAAAAGCAGGGTGCCCCACCCCTTCAACAGAATCAAGTGCCGTGCCTACCAAACTCCCCTCATGTCAACCACTGTATTGATGTAGTGCACGGCGCAATACAAACGCACTAGCAAAAATGTTACTGACTTACTGCCACGCTCCACATACCCTCCCACCCCACTGATAGAAAGGAAACACTGGGGATCTCCAACTACTTGTACGTGTTGGCCTTAACATGTTAGTGTTTTCCTCGTTCTACTAAAAGTTGTTTGTGACACGTGAAAGCCCTGGTTTATTTTTTTAAATTGTTAATGTTTATTACATTTTTCACTTAGGGATATCAACATTATTTAACTGGCGCAATGCATTCTGGGGAGATGAAAAACATCAGTTTCAAAGATTCAAGCGTCTTTATTGTCATTCACACCACATGCGATACATGAGGTGGAACGAAATTGTGTACACAGGGTCCCAGTTCCATCCCACAAAAGTATAAAATGTAAAAGAAAAACAGTAATAAGATCTAAGATATGATATGTCCAGTTGTAGTGGAGACTAAAACACAAGGAGTCCAGGCTGAAAAGTTAAAGAGTGCAGCTGCTAAAATGCTTTCAATAAGCAGCAAGCAGGTATCTGAAGCTGCTGGTTCCTCTGGGGTCCTAAAAACCTCACGGTGTAGGATCCTCCAGAGGCTCGCGGTTGTGTGTAAATGTACTATTGGGCCACCCCTAACCACTGCTCTCAAGAAGAAATGGTGGCACTCTGCCTAATTAATGAGTGCCTTGCAACCCTGGAGGGTCCAGAAGGAGGATGCCCCAAAAAGGCTCCAACGTCAGCAAGGGGGTGGCGGAGTCATGTTTTTGGGGAGAGCTGGCAGGCCCCTTCAGGGTCCCCGAAAGTGCAAACCTCGGCAAAATGATATTCAAATGGTCACTCACCTGTGTGTATTCGGATGTGCCTGACGAGCTGACTGGGCTTTTTGAAAGCCTTTCCACAGTGATGGCAGCTGTTAGTGAACCCACTGCGATCAATGTTTTTCTTGTAGTTCCTGGAACTATTGGATAGCACCCTTTGAAGGAAGCAAACACAAACGATGCTCATTGGTTTATTTAGGAACTCCTAAGCAAAGAAAACTCATCGTCACCATGCAGACGAGCTCACAAACATTAGGGTTGCTGCTACATTCGGATTATTAGTTGTTGTTTTTTTACAATTAAAACAAAAAGTTTGTGTTAAAGGATCAAATCAGTCTGTGAGAACTGTGCTCTAATCCTTTTGCATTGTCTTTAGCATTTTACTTGCCAATATTCTGCAAAACATCCTATAAACATATTATTGTTAGATCTTTTCAGAATACAGTTCACTTTCTGAGGTGTTTGAAATAGTTCATGACGCTGAGACTCCCTCCTGACCCTGGTTTTATATTTAGCTCTCACAGCAGCAACAGGTTAATAAACAGCAGGCGTAGTGGATTACTTGAATATTTAGATGCTAAATGTTAATTGAAAACTGCCTGAGAACGTGAGAAGATGTGGAAATGTATCTGTGGTTTCCTTGAGCCCCCTGACAGATGGTTTGAATCTACATGCAGTTATCAGGCTGCTTTAGACCCAGCTGTTGGAAAGACTTTCAGTGGTTCCCAAGGACTACGTACCTGCAAGGACCTTTCTCTGTTTGCATTTGGACAGTTGATAAAAGGCTGAAGAAACAACAAGAACAACAACACAGCCTGTTGCAGCTGAAGTCTAAATACTTTGTATTCACATCATTTTTTAAATGCTCAGTGAAGTCTGATGTTTATTTTCTAACAGCTGACTGTAACAAGCGGTGCACCGATGCCCCCCATCACTGAGGGATCTGAATAGTGAATATTTGTAGTTTTTGAGAGGAGTGTTTTTCTGGAAGTGGCACAGTTGGTAGAGCTGCCACCTCTCAGCGAGCAGGTTACCCTGGTCAAAATCTCGGTACGGAGGCCTTTCAGGGTGGAGTTTGCATGTTCTCTCTGTGCATGCGTGGGTTTTCTCCAGGTACTCCAGTTTCCTCCCACAGACCAAAAACATGCATGTTGGACTAATTGGTAACGCTAAATTGTCTCTAGGTGTGAGTGAGAGAGTGAATGGTTGTTTGTCTCTGTGTGGCCCTGTGATGGACTGGAGACCTGTCCAGGTGTCCCCCCTCCTCTCACACAGTGATTGCTGGACATGGGCACCAGTGACCCCCATCCATCCATCCATTATCTTTACCCGCTTCTTCCATTTTGGGTCGCGGGGTCGCCGGTGCCCATGTCCAGCAATCACTGTGTGAGGGGCCGGGGACACCCTGGACAGGTCGCAAGTCCATCACTGGGACACATAGAGACAAACGAGACAAACAACCATTCACTCTCTCACTCACACCTAGGGACAATTTAGAGTTACCAATGAGACTAACATGCATGTTTTTGGTCTGTGGGAGGAAACTGGAGTACCTGGAGAAAACCCACGCATGCACGGAGAGAACATGCAAACTCCACCCAGAAAGGCCTCCGGACCGGGGTTTGAACCAGGGACCTGCTCGCTGAGAGGCAGCAGCTCTACCAGTCACGCCACCGTGCTGCCCACCAGTGACCCCCATGACGCAAAAAGGAAAATGCTGGTGAGAGAGACTTGGCCCTGTCCACACTACTCCAGTTGTTTTTAAAAGACAAAAACTTTCTGCTGGATCGTACTTTTTGAACACACAAACAAAGACTTGTGATTAAAAACAAGTTTGTTTGTTTTTTAAATCGAGTTATTGTTGAGCTGTGTATACTGGAGACACAGAGCTTTTCAGAAATTTTGAAATAGAAGCATATTTTCTGAACGCCCACTGTCACTTTGTTCACTAAAAACAAACAAAAAACACAACAACGCCCTTTTTGTAACCTTTTTATGTCTTTCTTGCTTTATCCTCAACCTCTCACCATCAAACATCAGTCTATACTGAAACTAACAGTTAATAACTGAGAGGAAATCAAAAACAATATCAAAGAAAAAGAAAATTATTTATTTTAAGTGAATCTTCAGCCAAGAATCCAAAAAAGTTCAATCAAGTTCTCTGAACATTCAAAAAAAACAAAAAACAAAGCAAAAAAAATGTAGAAACGTTTCGTCTCTCATCCGAAAGACTTCCTCAGTCTGAGGTGCTGTTTTCAGCTCAGTCTCTTAAATAGCCACGGTGCTATTTAAGAGACTGAGCTGAATACAGCACTTCTCTCGGATGAGAGACAAAACGTTTCTACATTTTTTTGCTTTGTTTTGTTTTGTTTTTTTTGAATGTTCAGAGGACCAGATTGAACTTTTTTGGATTTTTCTACCTGGATTATTGAGCATGCATCAGGATATTCAGCCAAGAATGTTCTTTTCCTGTGTTTTGACTTGTCATTAAAGTATACCTGGTTCCTCTCCTCCCGGTGTTTGAGTGTTTTTGTTCGAATCATGTGCATGAAGTAAGTCAAAATTTTCTGGTGTAATGGACTTGGTTAAACCAGCAGAGCCGTGTTTAAAGCTGACCTCATCTTGACGTGACCCTTGGAGTGATCTCTGAACTCTGCGAACGTCTTGAGCTCCTTGCCGCAGGTTTTGCAGACGTAGACTCTGACGTCGGACAGCTCCTTGCGGTGCTCCTCCAGGTGCAGCGAAAGCTGGCTCTGGAGGACGAACTCATCTCCGCACTCTGAGCAGATCAGGTTCTGCAGGAGTTCAACCTCGGTGAACAAAACATCAAAAACAAGCGTTCTACGTGGGTTTGGAAACTTACCTCCTCCTTTTTGTGCAGCATGACGTGGGACTTAAGACCCGCGATGCGGGAGAACCTTTTGTTGCACACGGGGCAGGTGAAGTCGGCGGTGGTGTGTGTGGACTTGTGTAGCGTGAGGTTGAACGCCACATTAAATGTCTGTGGGCACAGGTCACAGCGATGAGGCTGCAACGACAAGAAGAGGCAAAGACTGCAGTGAACAAGGATGTTCGTACAGAAAGCTTGAAAGAAGTTCCTCTAACAAATGAATGGGGTCGAGACAGATGTGACGGACTTTAAAACTCAGACTGTCTAAAATATTCCAGAGCACAAAGAACACTATTTCTCATGGGGTAGAAATGGTCCCAAAATTAATTTCCACTTCCGACAGAGGAACCAGCTGAGAGAAAACTCTTTATATCAGAGACTCTTCAGCCTGGAGGGGATTCAAACCAACTCCTCAAAACTGAAATGGCCCAAATCTTTAGGTTCAGTGATTTGGTAATTGTCATTTGTATTCCAAAAGACATGAACTTTTCTTTTCTCCAACAATCCTATGGAAAGCATAGAGAAGAACCGCTTATTTAAATCTTTCTGTAAATATCACCGGCTGCCAAACACAAGGCGGTCTTAAGGTTTGTCCCTGTGTCTGTGTGATCATTTGTCTGTAGTGTTAGCAAAATATTGCATGAAGGAAACATTTAAACTTGTATGGACTTGCATAAACAGAGTTCAACCCTTCCAGTACTTTAGCTCAGGTTCTGACAAATGTTTAGCAATGCAGCCGGAAACATCAGCTAAACAAGCTAACAGCACAGAAGTGTTGAAGTTCTTTAGCTACAGTACAGATGACACAACCATCATAAATTCAGTCAAAACCAGGACTACCCACCTTATTCCTGGGGGCTCTACTGTATAAATGATTATGGGTACAACTTCCTGTCAGACAGGAAGTAGCAGTAAGCGTTGGTTAATCATGGTAGTGGAGCACGGACTGCAGTTTATTTGAAAGTAATTTACATTCAGTTTAGCAGAAAAAACACAGTTTTTGTTTTGTTCACATTTATTTAACAACCATAAAGTTTACTAAAATAGCCATGCTGAGTTCAGGTACCTGTTCTGTTTGCAGCTGCATGAACAACCAGACCAAACTAAATCAGTGGCTACAACAACAGAATTTGGAAGACGGATCCAAAACAAAAAGAGTTCCTGTGAAAAGAGGTATAGTTTCCATCTCCTACCTACAGATGAGGAATTAAGAAGAACGTTGTGACGGTTTACAAAAGTTATTTATTAAAAGGGGTGCCAGCCAGGTATCCCTCCTGACAATTAGGATTAACAAATTTCAATTACTTTTGTATTTTTTTTAACCTGTCACACAAGGACCATCCACTTTAATGGTGTTGACCCTTTAACAACTTGAATGAGTATATATATATATATATATATATATATATATATATATTATTTCCTTTTTTTTTCCTTTTTTACACAAAAAAACAAAACATCATCCACATAATTTCTTTTTTTTTAAGGTTTGCATTTTTAAATGTCCATTAACAAAATAAACATAAATCCCTTAAAAAAAAGTTCTTAAGTCTTTTCTTGTCTTCCAAAATCAAGCAGACAAAGGTTCCCATACATTTACTGCCCCACAGCAAGAGCTGTGGAATAATAAAAAAATACATCAGGCCCAATATGCCATTTAAATGCTCACAATTACAAATAAAAAGAAACAAAAAACGAATAAACAGACTTTCAGGTCTCGTGAAAGTCTCAGAAAAAGCAGACTCAGGAATCCATCGGTTTTTTTTGTCATTTGTAATGGACGAATGTAATATTTTGAAATCACTATGGAGCACAACTGATTAGTTTTTAGTAATATTAAATGTTTAATTCTGGAACTTACGAGCAATTAACTGGGTGACGTCACACGCTTCCAGGATATCCGGCATTCACGTCAGAGAACGCACAGGAGTAGACATATTTTTCCTTTTTTTTCCGGTCCAAAGTGACGGTAGATTCTAACAGGAAGTGATGCAATTCGGAACAGGCAAGGGATTACACAGCCTCGGTTTTAAGTTTAATAGTTATAACCAGGGACACAACGCTGGCGGAATTGTGGCAGTTGTTGCTACATCAAGGTCTGGAGAAAAACTGCCATCTTTCAAACCGGAAGAGAAAATGAGCTTGAACAGCGGACCAATCAGGTGAGTTCATGGCCGTGATCCGGGCGTGTCTGTAATTGTGGCAGGACGGGAGGGGCAGAGGAAGAACAGAAAGTAGTGAAAGCAGCTCTGAGAAACGAGCGCGTTGTCACAACCTGGCTGAAAAATGTGAACTTGAAGAGACCACCCAAAACACTGGATGTGTGCTCATTTCACTTTGTTGACAAATGACAGACGGAAGAAAACTTGCATCCTACTTTGTGGCTGGACTTCAGTAAACCACCGGAGAAGAGATGCTGGATCCTCGGAAGGATTGAAAACAGTGCAACAAGGATATCAGGTGTGATATGAAGTGTATGGAGGTCACATCATTATAGTATTTGTTCATCTTCGGTACTTAAGGCTTTGGCTGGGCTCTATGTCTGTTTTAAGATAAATAAGATTGTGTCCCACCTCTATGAACAAAACACCACTGACCTTATTACTGTGTAGATACTGATACACCTCAAAGCTTTTCAGATTGTTCATCGCTTCACTGACGGAAGCAACCGAGTCGATGACATAATTACTGGTAAATATGCGAGTAGATGTATCTGCAGCCACTTCTTCAACTCGTCCATCCCTCGTCCTCAGCAGGCAGAGGTATGATTCTTGTCCTGTTTGAGCTCTGACAGCTGGTGTTCCTACATGTTTAAATTACATCCACAATGCACAGAGAAACTACACTAGCTTGTACTGTTCGCACGTAAACAAATGCCGGTTTCAGTCTGCGCCAAAAGTCGAGCACATAATTCACACAAAGCATCATGGGGCCTAGGAATAAGGTCAATTAAGAGAACAGAGTTCCTCTATAGGCGCGAGGTGCACCGACTGCACCTGCTTTAAAGAATCAGACTTCCTGAGTAAATTTAAATAAGATCAAACCGGAGCAACACTTCCTGATGAACAGCAGAAAGGTACAAACCAAGTTCAAAACATTTTTTAAATCATCAAGTTTTTTTTTTTTTTACTGAATTAATCCAATTAGACTTTGTGAAGTGCAAAACAAAAACGAGGTTTGACATGCTGGAACTCATCAAATCCATTTTAGGTCTGATTTTATATAAACGACCTCAATTTTGCTATTTACAGGAGACAAAAAAATAAATTATCACCTGCTTCTTTTTCATTTTCATTCACCTCGAGGTTAAAGGAAGAATAAGCCTCTCTTTAGAGTATGATGAATTTGGAGAAGCTAAAATTGTACATAAATAGAAAATAGAGCAAAAAATTTTTGCTATGGAGCGACTTCCAAATATTTAACGCAAGCATCACTGAATAACTCCAGCTGCAGGTGTGAGGCTTTGAGGCTTTCCAGATGTGGCACCTGGTCTGTGACAGGAAAATATCTGGTGAGAGTCGGAAATTGTTGGGAAAATTAAAAAAGATAAAAATCTTCGGAAATCTTTCCAGTGCCATTAAAACAGGAATGGGCTTTATTCAGTCCTATTTATGGAGAGCAGAGCGTTCATGAGAACAAAAGCTGACAGAAGTCAGTGTGAGGACAAAAATATAAAATTAAACATAAAAAGAACGATGTGCTTTAAGATTGAGACCATAAACGCTGTCATATTATGTTAACTGTAATGCTGTTAATATGATTATATGTATACGTGCATCATTTATGATAAAATTAGCTGCTCTACCAACAGTCTTCAGCATAATTTGTATCAAATTAGCAGTTATGTTTTGTTCCAGTGGATATCAAAGTCAAAAGTCAAAGTTTCTTTGTTTGTCATTAGCATCATATGTGGTACATGTGGTGGAACGAAACTGTGTACACAGGGTCCCAGTTACATCCAACAAAAGTATAAATTGTAAAGAAAAACAGTGATAAGATCTAAGATATGAACTAAGAATATGCTAAACTAAGAATATGCTAAGCACTAATAGTACAAAAACAATACGTCGAACAACAGCAGTACGAACAATATCAGGTCAGTAAAATATTCCCCGGATGTAAACAATGGGATCCGAGACAGCTGGTTGAAAAAGAGAAAGTAAAATTCTTCTTCAGAAAAGAAATGGTAACTAAAAGCTGTGAGGGTGAGTCGACACAAGCAGAGTCATTTTGGGGGAACAAGTCGAGCGGTGAAAAGCTTGAAAGCTAAAAGTTGGAGCTAAACTCAACAGGAAACGAGCCGTGCTGACATATTCTGAAGTCAAGTCAACTTTATTTATTTATAGAGCACATTTAAAACAGAACCTGTTATCAAAGTGCTTAACAACAACAACAATCAATGAGTAAATTAAACTCTAAAGAGGGCCTGTAGCTAACTCAAAGTTCAAGGTTTTTGTTATCATTCACATCACAAGTGGTGCATGAGGTGGAAGAAAATTGTGTACACAGGGTCCCAGTTACATCCAACAATAGCAAAAATATAAAGTATAAAAAGAAACAGTAAGGATCTAAGATATATGCTAAACACTAATAATGTAAAATAATATGGTATATTAAACAGCAGCCTTAATTGTATGTAATTGTATGTAATTGTAATTGTATGTAATTGTATGTAATTGTAATTGTATGTAATTGTATGTAATTGTAATTGTATGTAATTGTATGTAATTGTAATTGTATGTAATTGTAATTGTATGTAATTGTATGTAATTGTAATTGTATGTAATTGTAAGTGATCATAAATATTCATACATAATCACAACTGATTTTAACCAATTCTAACAGATAGTAACTTATTGTAACCGATGGTGACAGATCAAAACACACCGCAACAGATCATATCAGAACATAACTGATGGTAACAGACCAGTTAGTTATCATATTTTATCTCATCTAAATTTACTCAAGAGTTCTGAGTCTTCAAATCAGGTGCAGTCACTGTACATCACAGAATGTAACTGATCGTAACAAATCTCAACTGAACGTTCGTAACACATCGTAACTGATGGTAACTAAAAGTAACTGAGCGTAACCCCTCGAAAAACATTGTAACCAGTTGTAACTTGATTGTAACTGAAATTAACTGATGGCTACACGTTATAACTGATAATAACTAAAAACAACGATTAGTAACACGTAACACATCACAGCTGTAACAAATAGTAACAAATCATATGATTGTCATCTAGAAAAGGCAGACAGCACTGTGAGAGTCATGTTCTTTGATTTCTCCAGTGCATTTAACACAATCCAGCCTCATTTGCTTTGTCAGAAACTCCAGAAAACTCAGGTGGAGGCCTCAACATCACCTGGATCAAAGACTACCTGACAAACAGACCACAGTTTGTGAGACCGAAGGGTTGTGTGTCTAACCAATTGGTCAGTAGCTCAGGAGAACCACAGGGGACTGTACTCGCACCATTCCGTTTCACTCTGTACACCTCAGATTTCCAGTACAAAACAGACTCCTGTCATCTGCAGAAATATTCAGATGACTCTGCAGTGGTCGGGTGTACCAGAGATGGACAAGAAACTGAGTACAGGGAACTGGTGGACCACTTTGTGGCATGGTGTGGAAACAATCATCTCATCTTGAATGTGAACAAAACAAAGGGGATGATTGTAGATTTCAGGAGAATCAGGAACAGGTCCAACCCTATTTTCATCATGGGAGAAGAAGAGGAGGTGGTGGAGAAGTATAAATACCTTGGGGTTCACCTGGACAACAGACTGGGCTGGAAATGCAACAGTGAAGCATCTACAAGAAGGGACAGAGCAGACTGTACTTCTTGAGGAAGCTGAAGGTTGTTTTCACACCTGATAGTCCAGTAAACTCAGTTCGATTGGGGACCAATATTCAGAACATTTGTTTACATTTTCAGCTGATGCAGTTCACATTTACACTGCACTGAGTCAATCAAGTCAGCCCCCTCCTGTTTACTCTGCTCACGTATGATTGTGCAGCTACCCATCCAGGCTGTCACATTGTAAAGTTTACAGATGATACAGCGATGGTGGGATGCATCACAAACAATGATGAGTCCAGCTACAGGCAAGAGGTGGAACACCTGGAGAGCTGGTGCAAAGAGAATAACCTTCACATCAATGTGAAGAAGACAAAGGAGATGATTGTGGACTTCAGAAGGAACAAAAACACCTACACCCCCCTGTACATAAGAGGATCTGTGGTGGAAGTGGTCTCCACCTACAAGTACTTGGGTGTACACATGAATGACAACCTCAGCTGGAGCAACAACACCACCAGCCTGATCAAGAACACTCGTCAGAGACTCTACTTCCTCAGACGGCTGAGACGAGCTGGTCTGGGAAGCTCAGTCCTCACCTCCTTCTACAGGTGTGCAGTGGAGAGCATCCTGTGCTCGAGCATCAACGTGTGGCATGGAGGCTGCACAGGTGCAGAAAGAAAAGCTTTGCAGAGAGTGGTGAAGGCTGCACAGAAGATGTTGGAATCAGTCTCCCCACCATCACAGACATCTGGACCTCCAGATGCAGGAAGAGGGCCACCTGCATCATGAAGGACCCCACCCACCCAGCACACACACTTTTTGCCCCACTCCCCTCAGGAAGGAGGTTAAGGAGCATTAAGTGTAGAACCACTAGACTGAGGAACAGCTTCTACCCTGAGGTTGTTAGACTCATGAATCCCTAACCTCATACGGAGCCGTCTCAGCCACCTTGTGTGAAAAACAATATTCTCCATGGTCTTCTGCCTCATCTTCTGCTCATGCTGAGTCCATTGTTGAAAAATGACAAAACAGAAATCCTAAAACAATAAAATATAAAAGAAAAACAGTAATAACATCTAAGATATGAACTAAGAAAAACATCAACTAAATATACACTAAGCACTCATAACATAAAAACATTACGTCAAACAGCAGCATGAACATGAGTCTGTGAGCGGATGAGCACGCATGAACACATCAACATGAAACAGATCAGCAGCAACATGAAACAGATCAGCAGCATGTAACAAATCAGCAGCAACATGAAACAAATCAGCAGCAACATGAAACAGATCAGCAGCAACATGATGTGATTTTTCACAGTGATTATTCTGGTAAGAGAAATGTGTGTTTGTTTGCCCTGCGCTGTGTGAAAAAATTAATAAACTAACATGTATTGTTTAAATATTATTTAA